TCTTCTTTTAGCTTGACGTTAATAAAATCAGCTGCTCTGTGTCCACAGATCTCCGTCATCTTTAAAAACGTTCCTCAGTGTGTCGAGCAGAAGTTGTACCAGGCTGAGCTCGACAACGTTCCCGCTGCCTTCGCCGACGGCTCCGTGTCCAGTGGTGATCGCCTAGGTCACCACAGTCTGAAGGTCCAGACCCAGAACCCAGGTCGACACGCAGAGATCCACGCGGCCCACATCGGGACCCTGCTGGTGGTGCGTCAGAGCGGCCGCTCCCTGGGACTCTCTGTCCTGTTGCCACGTGGTGTTGCAGAGGCGTATGGACCCGAGCAGGACCTGCAGCTGTGCGTGTGGGGGTGCCCCGCTTCCCAGAGATTGGACACACTCCGCCCACCGCTGCCACATGCCTCCCTGCCCAGAACCATCAGCGCCCATGCCCACTGCGCGGCTCTGCTTCCAAACCGGGACGTCTACTACCAGGCCTGTGTGTTTGACCTGATCTCCAGCGGTGACCTGAACTCCAGCACCGCAGCCATAGACGCGTTAACTGACGCGGGTCACATGATCCCTGAGAGAGAAAGAGTTCACCTGCTGCCGCTCTCCGCTGCTGCTGGTAAAGTGTACCTGAACTTGATACTGATGCTGCTGCTGATGCTGCTGCTGATGCTCGGCATGCTGGGAACTCTAAGCTGATTGAGTGCCGTGACATTTTTAGATCATGTTTCCACCATGCAACACAACTTCCTGAGTTGAAACATGTGAAGCCATACCCACAGACACGCAGACATTGTCCAGTAAAAACACAGACTTTTGTTAACAAGCAGGTGAAGTTAACGATGTTTTCTGGTTGACCTAAAAAAACAACTGTTTTTGTTGTTTTGGACTACTTTAATTATTCAACCTTTAAGTATTCAGTTTAAAAGTCATAAAGTCAAGTTTATGTGAATGTCAGCCATGTTTAGTTGAACTGTTACTGTGATCTGAAATATTAGGTTTTTGTTTTATTAACTCAAGGATGATCATATTTATTTTATATAATTTGTTTGTTGATAATAATTTTCTATTGATGTTCTTGACATGTTAAAAGGTCAAGAAGTGTTGTGTGCTAATGACAATGTTTAACAGTTGTCCCTTTCTAGATAACTCTATCTCTCTCTCTTTCCCCCACACCAAAGTCCATAGAGAAAAGCAGTGATTTTAGCTCACAGTGACACAGCAGTTTTTGAGCCACTGGTGCCTCCATCACCAAGGTCAAATGTGTTATTTGTGGCTTTGCTGTTTTAAACTCTCCGTTCAGATTTACCTCAGTGACACAAACTGACCACAGGAGGCAGCAGTGGACCAGCGGCCCCTGTGTCTCTGTGAGCTAAAATCAATGATTTTCTCTTTGGTGTTTAGTGTGGCACAGTGAATGGTTTACAAACTGACCAGTGAAGCTGGTCAAATCTGTCTTTCATTAACCACTACCTAGAGTGGAGGTTGGGGGCAGCACTGAGCAACAACTCCTCAGTGAGTGATTTATTTCACCTCATCATTTTACTAAAATGAAAACAGCAGACTGCAAAAACAATCAAGATTTTATTAAATTTAAATGAATAATCCTATTATTTATGACATGATATTTGAATATTTGTTTTATGGATTTTATAAATGTTTGAGGTAAATTTGTTAACATTTTTGCTGGAGGTGCTAACATTTTGTAGAGTTGTAATAGATATAAGGTATAATAATAATAATAATAATAATAAAAATACTTCCGAAATTTACAGCATTAAACAGACATGTTCTTTCACTCATTGATTGTGATAATTGTGATAATAATCATCAGTCTGTGTGGGCGGGTCAGTCTGGTAGTTTATCACCTGAGTATCATCACAGTCTATGTGGGCGGGGTCCGGATCAATCAGCTGATTGGCTCGTTTCAAGAAGGCTTTCTTTCCAAATGCTTTGTACAAAGACAGGATCACCGCAAACTGCAATACCTGCAGAGACAGAGTTTTGAGCACCTCTGACAGGCCGATGCTGGTATTACAGGTTTGAATCAAGTGTGAATCAGGTGTGTTTTGTTTTTGTGAGTTTACTCTGCTGTGATACTGATGTAACTGTGTAGTGAATCAGGTACGGCGCTGGTGTGAAATGTGTGATTCTGGTGTGAATCAGTTGTGAATGGGCTCCTCTCACCTGGACTCCTAAAAGGCTGAGGTCCATGGCCACAATTGTCACAATGTTTTTTTGCAGCCAGTCACTGAGTGTTTGTTTACAGCCCTGCAACAACAAACAGAGGTAACAAAAAAAAATATCACAAAACATATAAAAAGATACAGTCACAAACATCTGGTCACCTGATCGTAGGAACTGTTTCCTGTCCCAAACAATGGCGTCTCTGCTGTGTCCAGGTGCTGCGAGACATTCAGACGCTCTGTACACCAGGGAGACTGGTCTACACCTTCAGACCAGCTGAAACAGGAACAGGGAAGGACGCTCAGAGACTCATCCAGACTCAGGCTGATGAGGTAAGAGTTCTTAAGCCAATCGGCGGGACCCGTTCTGCCGCAGCATTTCGTCTGTCAACAGCCAAACAATCGATGGATCGGTAAGTGAAGAAGATCTCTGATCCACTGTAGAAAAACATTCACTGACCTGTGTCTGGATGTTGTTGATCAGGGAGTCTCTGCTGCTGCTGCTGCTGTTGCTCCCATAGTTAACAATCAAAATGTCAACGGTTGCGTCCAAATTGTCCTCAATCTGAGACAATATGAGAGGTTATATAATAATTAAGACTTTAATAAACTGAATATTTACTTTTTTCTGTCTATCATCTGAACAGAATGAGAGTCACCTGACCTGTCTCCTGTTGATGAACAGCAGCAGAGTGATGAACAGCTGACCCAGAACCAGGACCACGAGCAGACTGAGGTACTGAGGAGCAGCAGCAACAGGTGACAGTTAAATGTTGTGTGTTAGGAGATCTGGTTATATTATATATATATATATATATATATAGTATATTATACTACTACTAATAATAAATAATGTTCATTGACAGTATACTCTCCCACTGGATGTCATCACATGACTATTTTCATGTGTGTCTTTCTTCAATTCCTGCCAGTATTTCTGCATTGTGTTCAACTAAACAAGTCCCAGTTTAACACTTAGTAAGTAAATCATGACATATTTGAAATCAGAAGATCATTATGTTATTGAAAATATTTCTGTGGCATTTTTGTTTGTTTGTGCATCCAGGGATTTTTCTATTTTTGTTCTTAAAATATTTGCTGTGGCTCGAAAACAAAAACTGAGAGAATGGTATAGAGTGAACTCTACAGTTACTTTATTTACTTACAAAAAAGCTTAAAAAGCAGGAGAATATAAAAGTACACAAGGGCCTAAAACTATAGTGCAGTACTGTATACCAGCAGGTACTGTTTATGCAGTGACAATATTGCCATATACTCACTGTCAGTAGCAGGACTCTGTGTCCTCTGTGAACTCCAACACATCCAATTACAACAACAACAATCACCACACAGCCAGTCACCAGCAGCCCAAACCCCACTATCGACAGCTCCGCTAAAAACAAACAAACAAACAAACAAACAAACAAACAAAATGTAAGTGTGGAGAAACACTATTTCTATGTATGCAGACGACACAGTAAAGTGGCCATACTGAACACAACACATGCAGCGTGAGGGACATTCATCACCTTGTGACTGGATGGTCAGAAGGTTTTCTTTGCCAAACAGAATCCAGATGCCACAGCCGGCCACACTCACTCCCAGACCCTACGCACAAAGGTCAGGTTTAGTTGCCAGCAGATGGATCAAAAACACAGTCAAAAATAGTAACAAAGTAAAAAAAAAAAGGCTAAATGTTTATCAAAAATAGATTAACGTTAGTCAAAACCAAAGTTAAAAAACTGTGCACCTAGAATTTTTTATTGGAATCACTTTTAACCCCCCTAAAAATTGGAATTCCCTAAATAGGTAATTTTTAGTGCTAGCCCTGAGATGATTCAGCAAGAAATAAATTAGTTTAGATTTAGCCAAAAGTAACAAATAAAATCACTAAAGGATAGTAGCAAACATCCAGAATGTGCCTAAATAATTTGACCTCAGAAAAGAAACAACTTAAAATAGAGAAAAACAAAAAACAAAAACGTATAAATATTAGCTAAGAAAGTCATCTTATTATCTTATATTTGAAGCTAAGTTGAAGCTAAAGCCAGTGATGTTAAAGATCCACTCAGGTCCGTAGTAAAAGCATGTTGATAAAATAAGATCATCTCTTTCTCTCACCAGGAAGAGGATGTTGAACAAAAACGAACAAAACTTCAGCAGCTGAAGCTTTAGCTCCAGACCCATCCTGGTTCCTCTTCGGTTCTCAGGCCCTGATCTTAACCACTTCAGCAGTTCCAGGAGTTTGATCAGTTCTATTCCCTCATGTCCAAACTTAGCGTGTGTCTGTTTCTGTGTGTGCGCTGCAGGGTCAATGTCCACTTCCTTATTGTCTCTAAACATTAAACTGATTTCTTCCAACAGGAAGTTTGTGAACCTCTCTCTCAGCTTTACCAGAGTCCATAGAGAAGATCACTGATTTTAGCTCAAGCACCAAACTCTGTAGAAAAGAAAACTGTACTTTAGAGAAAATCAATGATTTAACTCGAACAGGCACAACAGCTGCTGGTCCACTCCTGCCCCCTATGGTTAGTTTGGGTTATTGAGCTAAATATAACCATATTGGATAAAGGAAAAATAGCATTTGAACAGCTGCGTCTGTGAGATAAAAACACTGATTTTTTCTATGGACTTTGGCATGGAGAAATAATTAGATTCACACCTTTGTTGTGCTGTTATAACTGTACAACTGTAACATAACAGACAAAGTTGAAAACTCAGCTTTTTCCCAATGAAGTTCTGAGTTGGTCTCCTGCGGCCTGAGCCTCCCCTCTGCAGGCTGCACCCCCCAGTTTGTGTCGGTTAATCAGAGGAACAGGCAGTTTGACCCCTGACCCTGAGCTGAAAGAAAAACCTTACAGTCGTGCAGAGGTCAGAGGTCACAGCATGGGCCTCATTCCCACGTTTGTCAGTGCTGCAATGTTTCCCCAGAGAAAGGCTTCGAAATGTGCAGGAATGTCCTGCAGGCTTGGAGGTACGAGGTTTTTAATTGGTGCTTGTGTCCCCTCGTGAACTTTACTGTAACTTACGCGCCTCTGCCACTTTCTTAGCAACACCTGGAACACTCAAGGACCTCCTGGAATATTCTCTTTTTTAAAAATGTCTGGAACCCCAAGATCAGCATGTAGATTACTTAAGGACTACCTGGAATGTTTTGAAACACTGAAGGAATTCTTGGAACATCCTCACAATGATACAGAACTACTGGAACTCCAGGATGACCTGGAACTTCCAAGACACTATTGAGAAATTTAAAAGGACTTCCTGGAACATCCTGGAATCAACCTGGAAATTGCAACATTTGGAAAATCCCATTCATCCCATTGTTTACATGTTAACGGGGATGGATCTGAATGGAAGAGAGTGATTGATGGCTGGATGATGACATCATACTCTTCAGGTCTAGACGTGTTCACCTGATAATTTCTCAATAATAGCAGTGTTTTAAGAAAGAAAAGTCATGGAGAAGACACAGGCCTCTGGGTTTTCCAGGTCCTGCAGAACTCTGGGATGTCCAAGTCTTGCAAGGCTCCAGGGTTTCCAGGTCTTATTCCATGATTTAAAGGAAATGTGCTTTGTGTTTTAAAAAGACAATCACTCAGTGAGGTGGAGGTTTAGGCCACGCCCCTTACTCTGCCTATTCTGTCTAACCCTCTCCCTCTCTCTCACCAGCGTGTCCCCTCAGTGTGCACTCTCACTTATCCAGGATGAACGTCCCACTCTCGCTCCCTCTTTGGTTTCTTCTGCTGACCTGGAGCTGCTGTGGTGAGTGACCTTGAAACCTTTAATAACCGACCTTTAACCCTCATCATGACAGTGAGGCCGTGGTCTTTCTCAGGACAGTCATGGAGAAAAGAGCAGCATCAACTGTCAGACCTTAGAACCTTTGAGCAGAGCACAGCCTCACAGTCTAGGGTTCGTTTTCTCACAGTCGGCACTTAAACCTAACGAACACTGGTGAATCCCCTTAATTAGAGAATTAACTATCTCAATTCATTTAATTAGCAGTGTTACAGAGTTGCAAATCGTTTATTTTGTCTCTAACATTCGATGGGAATGAACAGTAAAATCCCAGTCCTGAAATTGAACAGTTCCTGCAGCCAAGGAGAACCATCAGATCAGCACAATAACAAAATAAAAGTTTCCGTAGCTCAGAAGATTCTGCAGCTGCAGCATGACCTCATTAATGAGCAGCAGGTCTTGCAGCCAAGGAGAACCGTCAAAGATCAGCACAATAACAAAATAAAAGTCTCCGTAGCTCAGAAGATTCTGCAACAGCAGCATGACCTCATTAATGAGCAGCAGTTCAGACTCAGTTACCTGTTCTAACCTGAGTCTGGATCTGCTGACACAGGCTCTGTCTCACGTTCCTCAGAGGATCAGCCTCTGAACACTTGAGCCCAGACTGGAACTTCTTCTCCAGTGAGGACAACTTGGTTCTTCAAACAGGTCCTCAGATGTTCCATGGTTTTGTAAAAACCTGCCAGTCTCCTCAGGGTTGTTGCTCACTCAGATTCTTTATCTCCTATCGCCTGTATTTGTGTTCTCTGATATCAGGCTCCAGACCAGATCAAACCTGTCTCACTGTTCTCACTATAAAATAACAAAACCCATGATTCAGTCTAGAAATTAGCCTGGCTTCGCACAGAGACTGGAATTATGGGAAAAGCTAGCTTAGCCAAACGACAATGGGAATGTTTGTTTGCTGACAAAAACTGACTCTTGGTTTGTTTTCACTGTACAGGGAGCGATAATGAAGAGTCCACCACAGATTTATACGACTACCCCACGGCGACACCAGATTATGACTACAGTGCCACCTTTGACTACGACTGGGGTAACAGTTCCGTAGATACTGGAGCATTAGCAACACGGTGTTAGCAGTGCTAAGATAACTTCAGTTATAACATTCACACTATTTAACACAATCAGATGATAATGTTACTGCTCTTGTCTTAAAATGTTAAATTTGTGGGGGGTTTTTTTGGTGATAGTCACCGTGATTTGTTGATTGATTGAAATTTCGTTCTGCCAAAAAATTATTATTATTTTTTTTTGGTGATGGTCACCATGATTTGTTGATTGATTTCGTTCTGCCAAAAAATTATTATTACAATAGTATTAAACTACTGTAACATAAGACACTTAACATGCACATGTTTTTTTTTTGTAGTGACTGGGTTATACAATGGATACGACATTAAAAATGAGGTGAGAGAACAGAGAAAGATTTACTAACAAAAAAATGTAACTGGTTTAATTATTTGATTTTGAAATTAATTGTATTTTGTTTTTGTTTTTTTGGGCCATTTAAACTTTTTAAAAAGTATATTGATCTGAAAAATATTGCCCTTGAAAGTTAGATTTGAGGACAACAGTGACCTCCTGAACCCTGACTGACCTCTGATCTCTGACAGGCTGCAGTCCTTACTCACACGACTCCAGTTCTTTTCCTGGGATTAGCTTTTTTTCACATGTGTAACTGATGAAGGGCAGGGGCTGAAGAAAGATCTGCACTCAGGTGAGACACACAAGCCCCTCCCACCACAAACATTACAGTCTTATCAGGACCTAGTTCTAGTACAGACCTGATTCAACTTGTGCGGTCTGTCTCCTGTCTCTGCAGGCAATGTCCACTGACTTCCAACTTCTTTAGGGAAGGGAGATGATTTTTTTCTGTGCTGGATGTCAAATAAAAATCTTCTCTCGTCTGTTGGCGTCAGTGAAATGCTGCCTCCTGCTGGACATTATACGAATGTCAACCTGATGAGGACAACAAACTTATCTACTGAGTGAAGTAATTAATAAGCATCAATTACATTATTAAATTAGGCCTTTTTTTTGTCTAGATGTTTCCCATTATCACCTGCATACAGTCTCTCTGTGAATTAATCTGTGGAAGAATTTAATATTTTTCAACACATTTATAGTGATAGTGTAGTGTACTCCATTTTTTAATTTTCAGGTTAAATACACTGAAGGAAACCAAATATCAGAGCTGATTGTGCTGACAGCGCCCCCTGCTGCTGCAACCAGTATGAGACAGAGAGGCCGGACCCAAAATAATCACAACACTGAGTCTGTGTTTGTTGACGTAGCTGTTCGTTTTTTTCTGACTGTACAGAAAACAGTTACAAACTTAATGCTTTCAGCTCACAAAGGCACAATAGCTGCTGGTGCAATGCTACGTCTAGTGTCAGATAAATCAGACAGTGAATTCTCAAGATAACATTTAAATATTGTGATGGAGGCAGCAGTTGGTCAACAACTGCTGTGTATCTGTTAGCTAAAATAGATAACACGAGTGTTGTCCTATAGTCTTTTTTTACCTTCGTTTTAAACGTGTTTGAGGTCGTTATTAACACAAATTATATTCATGTTGTGACATAAATTATATCCATTTGTCTTGGAACAAATGTTTGTAATGGAATATTCGAGGTATTGTGAAATGCTGTCAAATATGGCGGCAAGTAGGACAAAGAGAAGGCGTGTTCATTGTTTAAACCTCAAGGAGTTGGTGTTGTCATTGGTCGTAGCACAACGACGCGTTGTAGCTTACGTCCAACCAAAGAGAGGACTTTTAAATGGAGCCGCAAAGAGGGGGTGGCTTACGCCTCAATCTAGGGTAGACCAATCAGAGCCCGGAATCAAGATAGATCTCATATATATTCATGTGGATGGGGCGTGGCCAACGAGCGGGGGCAGTCGTGCGACCGCAGCGAACATGGAGGTTCAGTAAACGACTGGTATTCGTAGCTGACGGAGCTTCGTTGTGAGGCGCGATTTTAGCTGATTGTTTCGGGAGGTTTTTGTTTGTGTGACGTGTGTTCGAAATGGAGATGAAAAAAAGAATTAGTCTGGAGCTCAGGAACCGGAACCCGACGGAGGTAGGTGTTTATTTAGAAGCAGGAGTCACGGTGAAGGCAACGGAGTCTCCTCCGACATTTTGACCCAGATAACAACTTCAACATGGAGGGAACTCCCGCGGGTTGTCCACGACAGCCCGCACACGCTCCCGGTGTCCCGACACTGTTCTGGACGCTACCCGTGGGATGAACCTCGGCGTCTGGTGGGAAGGGATTTGAGTTTGACTGCTCCGTTTAACCGGTGGTTAAAAACGAAGCTGTGTCTTCGTCTCGCTCCGCTGTGTTGGTCAGTTTCCCCCCTCCCCCTGGTGAACAGTTAGCGTGTTGGATGGCGCGTCAGACCAGGTCCATTAAGAACTCTAACCATTTAAACGGGTATTTAAAATGGTTTGTTACTCTGCATGGCTCGGTCGTCGTGTCGCGGTTTAATGGTGAACTTCTGCCGAATTCTTATCATATTTAACTCAACAAAGCACGTTAAAATTGACATATTATTCCGTATGACGTCACAGATTGCGTGTATAAGCGCAGACCGCCACATTGGAGGGTAAGCTGCGGTAAATACACGTTCACAGTAGAGGCTACAGTGACCTGTGTTCCTTTAGTCATGATGGTGAACTTTTGTGCTGCAGTCAGACTGACAATAAGTGACGTCATCACAGAACTACAGCCGTTGGACTGGATTAAACCAGACTAGTAAAATGCAAAATAAATGTATGATGTGAAGATACATTTTAATTTAACTGTCAGATTACCATCACAGATTATACACGTTGCCACGTACTCACTGTATAATCACAACATAGTGGAGTTAGAGGGTAACTGAACAGTGTAGACCTTTGTTATTTCCTGTTGTTGTCGTTTCCTTTTAATATTAGTCGTGCTTGGGTAGTTTGGAAAAGTAATTTTGTGGAGGTGGTGCACGGTATAAAATGTTCCACAACTGATTGTTTATGGTCTGTAGTTCCTATCATATTTTGGCATAAAAGCCGATGCTAAACCACTTACGGATAAGAAACAGGTATTGAGTTAGCCCACACATCAGGAGTCGACCAAAGTAGATAATGATAGGTTTAAAAAAAATGTGTTGGTTTTTAGCTTAGAATGTAAATGTAAGCCACAGCATAACTGAAATTCTAGACAAATGACTTCAACAATGGAGTTCAGCGGAAACAAAGAAGGGTAAAAATCGGCCATTGTTGCCTAGATCTAGACAAACTTTAATTATTAATGTCTCTGTAAAAAAAAGTCACAACAACTTTCGATTGTTAGTTTCTGTCCAGGGACAAAGGGGCTGTTAATCCAATGCTGCCTCATGTGGTCAGTATGTGGCACTAAAGTAAATATTGAACTTTTTAAACTTAGTGTTGGAGGCAGCAGTGGATCAACAATTGCTCTGACCAAATTAAATCACTAACTTTGTTGATGGACTTTGGTCTGTGAACCAAAGTGGTTGATTTTCCTCTATGACCTGTATCTACAAACAAAGAGTAACAACCAGAGTGAAGTTGTTCTGTTTCACATTAGTTGTTGGGGTCTCAGTTTTAATGTAGCTGTCTTCTGTGTTGTCCACAGGTGGCAGAGCTTGTAGTGGACAACTGTCGCTCTAGCGATGGAGACGTGGAGGGACTGACAGAGGAGTACTCAGAGCTGGAGATTCTCAGTATGGTCAATGTTGGACTGACGTCTCTGTCCAAACTTCCCTCTCTGCCTAAATTGCGTAAGGTTAGTGTCCCCGCCAGTTTCCCTGGGACTCCCTCTGTGTCTCCTGGTCTCGGACTGAGTCTCTGTGTCCTTTCAGTTGGAGGTCAGTGACAACACCATCTCAGCAGGTTTGGACATGTTACCAGAAAAATGTCCAAACTTGTCCTACCTGAATCTGAGCGGAAACAAGATCAAGGAGCTGAGCAGCGTCAAACCTCTGGTGAGTTTGTCACCGAAGCTTCTTTTTTTTTTATTTTTCTTTAACTTTCTCTTTCTTCTCCAAAGTGTCCTTCAGATCTTGAAATAATTTTGTGCTGCTGATGTTTCCAAGGTGTCCAAAACTGTCTCTGATGTCTTTGACTTTTTAAAGTGCTGAGTTTGTCTCCTGTCACCAACCACTGTGGTCACTGACAAAACTGTAAATGTTTTTAAAACCCACAAATAAGTTAATATCCTTGTCAGCTAAAAAGCTAGCATCACTATATTTCCGTGGAGGATTGGCTGCAGTACCACATTTCTCCTGCGTCATTTCCTCTGTGTCTCCTCTTGCAGCAAAGCCTCAAGAACCTGAAGAGTCTGGACCTGTACAGCTGTGAGGTGACCACGCTGGACGACTACAGGGACGCTGTCTTCGAGCTCCTGCCTCAGCTCACCTACCTGGACGGATTTGATCAGGAGGACAACGAGGTCCCTGACTCTGAAGCTGAAAACGGTAAGTCCACATCCTCGACCTGGTCCTGGACGTCCACCAGGTCTGAGTGTCTGAATGTTCTGGGTCCATGTTGACTTGAGCCCTTTTTGCAGACGAGGACGATGAAGCAGGTCCACCTGGAGACGACGAGGATGATGATGACGACGACGAGGATGAAGGTTCTGAAGAGGATGAGGAAGAGGAGGAGGTGGGATTGTCATATTTGATGAAGGAGGGAATCCAGGTGAGTCCTCTGTCTACATGTAGTTCTTTTCAGTATCCACCAGGCGGTGTTTTTACTTCTTTACTCCTGCGTTTTCTGTCAGGATGAAGACGACGATGGAGACTATGTGGAAGAGGAGGAAGAAGATGAAGATGAAGATGGAGGTTTGTTGTATTTTCTAATTAGTTTAAACAGCAGAGCCTGAAGTCAGACCAAAGTCCAAATCTGTAACTTTAACTCAGATCGACTGCTGCCTCCCCAACAAAAAG